CAGAAATAGACCCAGTTATCTATGGTCAACTGAATTCGAGAAGAAAATCAAAGCTATCAAATGGGGAAATGATAACCTCTTCAACAAATGGTACTGGCAAAACTGGACTTCCATCTGCAGAAAGCTGAAACAGGATCCACATCTCTGTAAACTTCAGACCAAAATGCTTTCACAAACTTATCTAATGAACAGATTGACTCATAAACAGTATCACCTATGAATAATGTCTTCCTTAAAAAAGAAATCATCTATATAAGACAACGAATTTCGAAAAGAATAAAATAAAAAACTTTACGTGAAAGCAAAGAAGAGAAGTAACAGGAGCAGAGAAATGAGATTATCAGCAACAGAGTAACAGTAACAAAAATAATGAAAGTTTTCAGACTGAGGGAAATGCAACCAATATAACTGAACAGAGTGTGTAGAAATTTTTAAGTGAAAATCTAACATGCTGTCTAAACTTTCCCTGAAAAAAAGGTATTTTCATTAAAAGAACAAAATAAAACTCAACATCATCTTCCATACAGCAATTCCTAAAACTACTGCAGGAGCTCTGGTTGCTGGGGGTTAGGGAGTTGAGCTGCCCGAAAGGTGCGTAACTTGAATCCATCAGCTGCTCCATAGAGAAAGCCGGGCAATCTCCTCCCAAGCAATTTACAGCCTCTGGTAACTCACTGGAGGTCAGTTATGAGTTGGTTCCAACTTGACAGCCCACAGGAAATAAACAATGAGTTCTTTGGGTACAGCATTTGTGTACTGTTACAAAAATGATGACTTCTAAGATTGTATCCAACATGGAGAGGATGCAATGGAAAGAAAAAAAAATACATATATACTGACAGACAGACAGACAGAAAAAAGTATGCATGTGTGTATTCATGTAACAAAAGGAACTGACCAACTCACAGAACAGGAGGAGAACAAGAAAAAGCCTTGACCTTAGAATTAGATCTAGGGTTCTATCCTTATTCCCTATTATTTACGTGCTGTGAAATCTTGGGAACATCCCCGAGTCTGTTTTACCATATGGAAAATGAGGTGAATGATAGAAATATAAAACCTGAATGTCTGTATCTCAAATCCTTCCACTTTCCCCTGCTTCAGACCACAAAATCATGCAGCATGGATAGACTGCCACAATATGGCAGCTTAAATGGTTCCCACACTGTAAGAATGATCTTTTTAAAAACAAAACTGAAAGGTCATGCTCCACACAAATGCAACTCCTCATTGGAACACGAGGGCCTTGCTTTTACAGTCCCAGGCATGTCTCTCAGGCCTCTTGTCAAACAATCCTTTACTCCCTGCCTGGCTCCTGTCACCAACAGCCCTGCCAACTCTCTCCTACCTCAGGGGCGCCTCTGAATTTCTGTTCATTCTTTCTAGAGCTCCTTTCATGCATAGAACTCCTGTCTTTTCACCTTGAGGAGATGAGCTTTTTAAATGTTACCATTTGACAAAGAACTCTCTCTAAAATAGGTCTTCCTATTATCCCTTACAGTGTCATGTGGTATTTATGCCAACAATCTGTATTTACGAATGTGTTTCTCTATTTATTGTCTGTCTATAAGCAATCTAGACTGGACTGCACACCATGTCTGGCCATGAATAGGTTTTCAGCTTGCTTTTTGTTTTTCAAAGGCATAGCTCTCAGTGATGTTTCTTCTTCTGCATCTCTGAAACAAAGAAACCAATGCCAACCACCCATCTCACCTCAGATTGAAGAGAAGAACATTTCCAAGACTCTTAACATTCAGTTATTTAAACAGACAACTATTTTCTGTGATATCAGGATTTCTATCCTAGAAATCTTTTAGTGCATGGTGGGCTCCAATAAAAAGCCGAACTCATTGCCGTTGAGCTGGAATCCACTTATAGTCACCCCTCCCAGTGTTTCGGAGGCTGTAGCTCATGGGTAAGAGCCTGTACATCCTTCTCCCAAGGTGTCACCCATACTTTCCAACAGAGGGGTCCGAGGCAGGCCTTGGGGCCAGCAGTGAAATCCCCTACTGACTACATCCCCAGTTGTGTGGTAAAAAGTAAAGGATAAAAACATAAGTTCATCTCAAAAGAGACAGAATTCTCTTTGAGCTGTAACCTTTTTTTTTTCTTTCAGAGCTGTAACCTTTTGATTAATTCTCTATTTGTTCCGCAAGTTCTTCACATTTCTCACCATGGGCCAAGAAGTCTCAAATTCTTTATATGAAAATGAACAAAAATACAAGTCAGTGCCTGAGAAGGTAAGTGACATGAAATAATGTAAATGGAAGTGCTTTGTTAAAACTGATGGGATAAATAATGTATACCGCATTGAAACAGATAAGAGAGAACTGTTTAAAAAGGATGTTATTAGGTACCATTGTCATGAATCCAGAACGAAGGCTGCATAGTGGAGTGGACTTGGGGGCGGAGGGATTATAAAACAGAGAAAGGATTTTTCTTTTACTTTTCAAGGAGAAGAGTGAACTGGGAGGGAGGGTGGGCAGGGAGAAAAGTGCAACAATGAATGAATGGAAATCCAAAGTTTCTATAATTTTTCATTAAAATTAGTAAAAATGAAAATAATTTTAAAAGAACCAAACCAAACCCCCCCCAACAGTATCTATGAGTGTTGATTCAACTCATGCTAGAATTAGAGTACTGTGCTGTTTTGCATTAATTTCAATGTACAAGATTGCTAGATGTCAGGTAATACCTAGACTGATATTTTTAATTTTTTTTTCAACCAGGCAAAATCATATGGAATCAAGTAAATAAATCCACTGTTGTTAAAGTGACTCCAACTCATAATGATCCTGTAGAACATAGTATAGCTGTCTCATTTGGTTTGTAAGGATATTTTCTTTATAGACACTGACTTCTCCTGTGAAAGCAGCAACTGGATTCAAACCACTGACCTTTTGGTTAGCAACCCTGTCTCATAGCAACCCTATGTACAACATCCTAAACTCTGTTCTGTCCTTTGCCAATCTCATTGCCTCTGACACACCCATCCCGATTGCCCCCCGTCACAGAGTTAATCCACCTCAAAGAGGGCCTTCCCCTCCTGCGCTGTCCCTCCACCCTCCCAAGCATGATGTCCCTCTCCAAGGACCGGTCTCTCCTTACAACATGACCAAAGTATGTCAGATGAAGCCTCAGAATCCTTGCCTCCAAGGAGCAGCC